AAGATGGCGGTCTGCTGATTCTGATTGGCTAAAAGTGCTGTCAATCTCGTTTTGGTGGCAATGGCTATCTTCTATTGGCTCTAACGATTCGAAGGGGGGTTCAATCACCGAAATCGGCCGATCCATCACGGAGATTCAGCCGCGCCTCATCAAGGGATTTCCACATCCGTCCAATCGCCTTTACGCACACGACGCGTAACACAGACAGCGGTCTGGTAGGATTAAAAAAACTAAAACACTGCTGTATTTGGATGTATTTAACACCATTAGTAATATACAAGTGAAATATCTAGTTTGTACATAAGAACACTCAGATGGTCACCAGTGTGCCAAAATGTGTCCAAGTGTCCAAAAATGTCACCTCGCCTGAACTGTCTGGATTAAAAACTTAGTAATTTTGTTGTACTTCACTTTTTCAGAGTCAACCTTTGCAGGGAGAATGTTCACATATTGTGATTTGATTTTGGAGAGGTTTAGAGCTGCAGCTGGATCATTACAAAGAGATAATTATCCTGAAACTGCTTTTTTTATTTAGGCGAACCTGAAATTTTTAAATTTGTGTGTGTGCCATCTACATTTACTTTTAACCAGTAACATATATACTGAAATTTACACATCTGAACAAATCTCACAAGTGTTCTTTTTATTATGACACAAGAATTATTCAAATAGACCTTGTGGTTGCAGAGATAGACTGTTTTTATTATGGGTATGTAATTTTCGAGAAAAGGCCTGAAAAATAGCTCAGGGCTTGATCATTAAAACATGAGTTGTTCCAACGAGTCATTCTACATCATTTAAACAGGTTTTTAACCACGATGTACTCATTTACTACAACATGAAGAAGACGTCACCAGCGCTGGAACACTTAGACTGTAAAGCTTCTCCTGAACGCCTTCACACACTGAACCAGATGTTTTTATTCTGAATCCTTCTCCTGGTTGTTTTGTTCAGGACCTGAAGGACGTTGGCCGTAGCCAGCCCCTGGACTCGGCTCTGCTGCCGGAGAACCGCGGGAAGAACCGATACAATAACATCCTGCCCTGTGAGTCACCGTGGAGACGATAGAACAGGTGACTCACCTGTACACTGCGACCCACTGATGTTCTGTTGGTTCTGTTCAGATGACTCAACGAGGGTGAAGCTGTCCTACGTCGACGATGATCCCTGTTCTGACTACATCAACGCCAGCTACATCCCAGTAAGAACCAGAACACTGACTCTGAGGACAGCAGGTCCATTAACCAAGGACAGACCTCCCCAGCTCACCTGCTCAGGTTTAAGGTACCTGGCAGGTAAACGTCCAACAAGTGACCTCAGATTAAAATCTAATCATTGGTCTAAGATATGAGCCACAAAGGGCAAGTTCAGGAATGTAGTGTGTAACTTAGAGTCCCATTTGTGCATCGGTTGATTTAAAACTAAATTAATGTTGAGGAAACTTAATTAACTTGGTTTTAACCTTGAGTTCAGGATCTACAGTCTCGTCGTGGACATCAGACGGGTAACAAACAGCACAGCTGATTCCTTTAAACCAGTTTAGTTTGTTGGTTGATCAGACGTTCGTTAAAAGTTGTCTGATTTGTTCTTTAACAGACTATTTTAGGCCTTCAGGCTTATTCGAGAGGTAAGTGGAAGACATGAATGTAGGGAGAAGAGTGGTGGAAGGACCTTCAGCAGATGGCCGTGGGCTGGACTCGACCCACGGCTGCTGTGTCGGGGACTCGGGCCTGTTTATGGGCCGCCGGCTGCCTGATTTCAAAAGATTGATGCAAACTGTTGCGTTCAATATTTTATAGGAGACAGAAACACCAGCACAAAGAGACACTCTGCCCCCTGGGACCACTTCCTCCTCCTCTTCTTCTTCTACATTTTTTCTTCTTCTTCTTCCTCGACTTGAAGTCTGTAGGTTTTGTTTCTTTGTGACTCTTCCAGTTATTCATACCTTCATTCTTTTCCTTCCACTGTTCATCTGCAGCACATGGAATTTTAAATTTTTGGTCACATCCCAGCTGTGTTTATGAAGATCCCATTATTAAGTACACCTGGAACATTAGCTTCACCTCACAGGTGTTTCACAGCTCTGACCTCTGACCGCTGCTGTCTGGAACCTTTCAGGGCAACAGCTTCCGTCGGGAGTACATCGCTACGCAGGGTCCTCTGCCTGGAACCAAGGATGACTTCTGGAAGATGGTTTGGGAGCAGAACGTCCACAACGTGGTGATGGTCACTCAGTGTGTGGAGAAAGGCCGGGTGGGTTCCTCTGGTTCCAAACAGAACAGAACCTTGGTGTGAGAATCGATGCTGCCGCTCTGTACAAACTAAGTGTTTCCCAGCAGCAGTGACGTTTCCTCCTCGTCCTCCTCCAGGTGAAGTGTGATCACTACTGGCCCTTCGACCAGGACCCTCTGTACTACGGAGACCTGATCGTCCAGATGCTGTCAGAGTCGGTTCTACCGGAGTGGACGATCCGAGAATTCAACATCTGTAGCGTAAGTTTCATAGAACCAAACCGGCTGTTTTCATCGACTGAACCAGTTTTATTTAGGTGTCTGAAGCTAAAACCTGAAACACATTATCATTAACATAATTTTTGATCAGCCAGAAACTGAAAACTGAAAGAATCTCTTCATTTTCTTTTTTTAAAATATATTTTTTGGGCTTTTGTCTTTATTCAGAGCAGTAGAGAGACAGGAAAGGAATAAGAGCAGGTAGTGGCCTGCAGCAAAGGGTGGAGAGCAGGAGTCCAACCCACGACCGCTGCGCTAACTATAGATAACTACAGCTAACTGTGGCTAACTATAGCTAACTATAGCTAAATACAGCTAACTACAGCTAACTATAGCTAACTACAGCTACTGACAGCTACCTACAGCTAACTATAGCTAA